GTTAAAAACAGTAAATACCAAAAACGTAAAAATGACGCTGCTGTTATCTTATCCACTATTAAAGAAAATGCAATTGATATAGAAAATATTACCATGACGATTTATAAAGCTCTTATTAATGTGGACAATATTATGAATATTTAGAAGGCAATTGCAAGTTTTATTTTGAACAAGCAATTAATTTGAGTAAATTAATTGATGAAATTCCGTTAGAAATTGAACAAGATCAACATGAACAATACCTTGCAAACAAAATTGTTAAGCTTGTTGAGCAGGGAGATGGTTATAATTATGTATACTGTACTAAATCCATATTACAAAAAACAAAAATAATGTTATTTTATTACTGGTATAATTGTCGTATAGAACTTGTTTCAAGATATAAAAAGCATAATGATATTTCCAAGCAATGAAATACTGGAACATATTTAACCAGATATGAATATGAAGGGCTTCTTTCAATTTCTATTGATTTAATAAATCAATATGCAAACATTAAGCTTAACTATAAGCAGCTCTATCAGCGGCCATGATTTATTGGTGTAATAGAACAAGTTAAGCAATATATTCGTGAACATTTAATACTTAGAGCATCAGAACTTTATTGAGAAATTATTGCAAAAAAGCTTGATGGGTTTGAAAACCTAACAATAGATCTGGTATATTTTTGGTGGGCACAAGAAACATCAGCATTCTATAGACGGCATGATGATCAATATGAATCTGTAAAGTTATTTTTAAGTGAGAAAGGTTATAAAATCATACTTAATTTGGATAAGCTGATGCATGTATTTAGTTTCTTAACAGGGTTTTTAACAAATTACCAAGAAATGCATTTAATACAGTTATGGTCAATGCTACTTATAATATGAACCAATTGAAATATGAGCTTTATGCATTAATGGCAATTATAGATAGAACAGAGTTTCTAATTTCATATTGTTTTATTGAAGCTGGAAAAGGACAGGATATGCGTGCAGCAATAACTGCATGGTTTAAATTTTTAAAAGAACATGGACTTAAGGAGGTAAAAGTAATTTTTTTTAACAAAGATTTTTCACAAATTAGTAGTGGTATGGTTATTTGGAAAGACATTGAGATTCAGTTATGCAAGTAGCACATGCGATGAGCAATAGAACAAAAATTTTCTTTACAATATAATGGCAATTCATCTCATTATAATGCTGCTAATGCATATTAATAGTGTTCAATAATTGACCCATCATGGCAACCAGTACAAAATAATAATACAAGCTCTAAAAAAAAAATTTTCTTAGAAGCAACTTTATGAAATAAAGTATTAGAATATATTGACACATACTTTCATCGTCACATGCTAATTCTGATGGCAGACAAAGAACTTGATTTAATATCAAAAGAAATTTGGCTATGCGCAATTAAAGAAATCTTTCAATATTGTTATCGCCATAATTTATTTCATATCTGGTGCTATTTATGGCTAGAATGGTACTGATAGGACCATTGGTGTTTTTGGGCCCTCTCAGCCCACAAAAACATTTCAATTATATATACTACAATGATCTTAGAATCTCATTGGAGAATCCTT